ATTTTCATGAAGTTACACATGGAAGAAATCCAGAGTGTTTACTTTAGTGCATGCCCAATGATACTCACAAGCTAATTTATCTAACAATGAGAATGGCTCCTCAGACTGATTTTATTGGTAGGCTGGCAATAGGAGTTTTCTTATCTGATAGCATAACCATGACTTGCTGTGTAAAAAAAAGAGAAGAAAACATATGTAATTACATTTCTTTTGGATGCTTATGCATTTGATACAAATCTAAGTGAGTAATTCAGTTACTGAATTGTCATAGTATCTCCCCAATTTAATGAAAATTGTATCGTGAAATCTTGTTCCAATGAAGAAAATAACGGTTACTTCCATCACCTGGTATCTAGCCTTCCCACTCTATTTCCTAGAATTTTATCTTTGGTGCTGAGGCTCTAGGAGTGTACAGGATGGAGGGGGAGACATTGTTGCAACACACTGGACCTAACACACAGATCCTGGCTGCTTTTCTTTTCTTCTTCCTTCCTTCCTTCCCTCCTTCCTGTCCTCCTTTCCTCCCTTCCTCCTTTCTTCCCTTCCATCCTTCCTTCCTCTCTCTCTCTCTCTTCCTTTCTTCAACTTTCTTTTTTGAGTTGGAGTCTCATTCTGTCACTCAGACTGGAGTGCAGTGGCCGCTGCCGGCCACTGCAGCCCCGACTTGCTGGGCTCCTTCCACCTCAGCTTTCCAAGTAGTCAGAACTACAGGCACGCGCTACCATGTGCGGCTAATTTTTTAAAATTTGTTGTGGAGATGAGGGCTTGCCAAGTTGCCCAGGCGGGTCTCGAACCCACGGGCTCAGCAATTCACTCACCTCGGCCTCCCAAAGCGGGGGATTACAGGTTGAGCCACCGAGCCCAGCCTCTTCAACTTTCTTATTCCTCCCAGCACATGGGAAACATTTGTTCTTTCTAAATCAATCTGAGATCATGAGGTAATGGGTAAAATTTAAGGGCTTTTGGCCCATGTATACTACATGTAAAACTTAGAATAAATGGGCATTTTTTATTTTCTCAAGATCCAGCTGGAAACACAGCACAGATTTCTCTGCTCACCAATATCCCCAAGGTTATCTGCAATGTCCCTGTCCAATCCACATTCTTAGACTATCTTAGGGAATGTGTGAAGGGTAGAAATTTATTGAAATTTCCTTTCAGTGACTGAGATATAACTACCCGTTGTAAAAAAGATCCTTGAAATAGAAATCAGTTTTATTATAAAGAAAATAAAGTTGTGTTATCTACTCACTACGTTTGTAGTATAAAACTTATACTTGCTATATTTAATTTATCTCTGGATATAATAAAGCAATTGCCATATATTTAACAACTGACCACAGTTTAGGTCTCATGCTAAGTATCCGTAAATGCACTATATTATCTTACCCCTACAACCAACAAAAGAGGTATCTACTTTACACTTGATTAACAAGTGTATTGAAATCCTGTTACACTGTGCATTAGTATGTCAAAGTTATACAGCTAGTAGTTGGTGGAGTCAGGATTTTAACAGGTCAAGTTGACATCAAAATCTGTGCCCTCACTCTTTTCTTTAGGTAGACGATGTTTTTAATAGAAAGATAGATGTGCACAAAATATAATTTATTTGGATTTCTACAAACTCATCATATGGCCACAGTGCTCTAAGAGCATAGTAGACAATGATGCATAATTCTCCTATAGTGAGTCACTACTTGTTTTTTAATTGTATGTTTAGCAACCACAGTTTGAGATGATTGAGTCAGATTCTATTACACCAAGATAATTTGATGCATGGGCTTCATATACACTGTTGCAGCTAGTCTCCAAGACTTCCTGTGATGGTCCCGGTCTCCACAGTTAGATGGCCTGTGCTTACAGAGCCTTCTAGGAGTTGTACAAGAAAGAGGGATTACAAATATAGTACAGTAGGACCCTTTCCTAGTCTAGAACTTGTCTTTCTTAAATAAAAATAACACAAAGAAGTCACGGAGAAAATGTGTATGTGTGTGTGTGTGTGTGTGTGTGTGTGTATTATATACCACAACATTCACACACATATATATGTGGTTGTGTATATTTAAAACTATCACTGAGTGATCTATGTTAAAAAGTCATTGTTGTAGTACCATTGTTATGTAACTGTAACTATATCTCTACATATAAGGAATAAGTTCAGTCTTAAGAGCATCAGAAAATCTAGGAGAGAAAAAGACAAAGGCTTAAAAGACACAACACATACGTCCAATAATGTATGAAAACTATCCATGTGGATGTCCTTTGGATATAAAAGAGATACTGCCCAACTATTGTAAATGGCACACATATTATAAAACACCATTTACTTGTGGAATCTGATAGCATGAGCAATCTTTAGCAGGTCTTCCTTTTCAGCAGAAATCATCTGTATTCATGCATTGAGACTGATTCACTGGCTGAAAGGAGGTTCAGGTGCACATCCTCGAACTTGTGAGACCCTCTGTATTTACTTATGCTATTTGGTTATATCTGAGCCAAAAGTGAATACTGGGTTAATCAACTATTTAGGATTATATTCAGTTCTAATCAGTAAGTATTCGGTTGAAGCCTGAGTGTGGTGCCTTATGCCTTTAATCCCAACACTTTAGAAGGCTGAGGAGGGAGGATTGTTTGAGCCTAAAAATTCTAGGCAACATAGCATCTCTACCAAAAAAATAACAAAATTAAAATTTAGTTTGGACATGATTGTGCAAGACTAGTCCCAGCGACTCAGGAGACTGAGGTGGAAGAATCCCTTAAGCCCAGGAGATAGGGCTGTGGTGAGCTGTGATCATGCACTGCACTCCAGCCTGGGCAACAGAGTGAGACCCCTGACTCAAAAAAAAAAAAAGAAAGAAAGAAAGAATAATTCGAAGGGCCATGCACCAGGACAAAACTGCAAAGAACTGACAAAGAGAATGTTCTCTTCCTTATCCAGTTCAATTCCCACCATGTATCTAACTTCGTTTCCAGAAAAATTATGTTTTATTCCTGTTTCTCTGCTTTGCCCTGAGTCATTCTCTCTCCCAGAACGCATCTCACTTCTTTCCTCTATTATATTCTACCTTGTATTTCCATTTGCAGCTCAAAGGTGTTCTCTGGGAAATTTACCTCCATTCTTTCCAAATGACATTAATCACCCCCACCCTGGGATTCATATAGTACTTTAAGTAGTACCTCATTGTAGTCATCTTCAGGTTGTCCTCAGAATTTCAAGAACATTGCATGTCCCTAGTCAATAAATGTGAGCTGTAGCCGGGCTCGGTGGCTCAGCCTGTAATCCCGTGCCTTTGGGAGGCTGAGGTGAGCGAATTGCCTGAGCCCGTGGGTTCGAGACCCGCCTGGGCAGCAAGACCTCATCTCTACAATAAATCAAAAAATCAGCCGGGCGTGGTAGCGCATGCCTGT